ACCACCACCGTTGGCCCGCTCACGAAGGCCACGAAGATTTGGACAATCAGCAACCAAACCTTCATCAAGCGGTCGGACAACGCCGCGGCTGCCACTGCCCAGCCACGCCGCACTGCCACTGCCGCTGGCCCAGCCGAACCCCAGGCCCGGGCCAACCTTGCCTCCATCGCTGACTCCCTCAACCGGCTCCACCTCAAAGTTGACGGGATGAGAGGCTACCTTGAACGGCTCGACGTCGCTGTTCAACGCCAAGGGTACGCCATGAACGCGTACTTCCAAGGCATCCACTACGTCCCCCCACCGTTCCACGGCACGTTCCTTGGGCAAGTGTACGGTGACGAAGACGAAGCCGATGACTCCTACGCCCCGTCAAGCTCCCCGGATGAAGACAAGTTCGACGATGCCATCGATGGGGATGAGATGGACGACGACGACGAGGAGGAGGAAACCGAAGACGAAGACTAGGACTCCCCTAGAATTTCTATCTCTTTTACCTTAATTATCTTGTTTTTTTTAATGCTTCTGTTGTACTCCACTATTTCCTTTAATAAATAAAATCATCTTTTTGATAATGTCAAAAGGGGGAAGAAAAGGGCTATGCATATACTAAGGGGGAACGTCTCTATAAACGAGACCGTTTGATCTTAATCCAACAAATTTTTTTGCACAAATTAAGGGGGAACTTTTTCACAACGTTTTGAAAAACAAACATCCCTTAGTATGCATATCCCCGTCTTGTTTGCCATTATCAAAAAGGGGGAAAGTGTTGGAACACGAGTTTACGCCTACGTCGTACTAAACTGTGTTCGTTTCTATGACAGGTTTTGATAATGCCAAACCGCCGTGACATAACAAGGCTAAAGAGAACAAAAACAAAGGCGAAGGAACATGGCATGATGTTTTGAGAACCAAGAATGCAGAATCAAGACCGAAAAATTAGATTTGTATTGAGTCGGTCTTAATGTGATCAAGACCGGCACAAACTTTCAAAACTTGGCTCTCTAGGCTCATTTCATCAAAACTCTTTTTACAAACTCAAAAATGTTTTTCATAAGTTTTAATCTACCCAAAAACACTTGGAGTTCGCCCAGACCAAAAACCAAGCCATCCGGCGTTCGGTTTTCAGAAACTGGCGTTCGGCTGTCGGTTTTCGGCATTGGTTTTTGGCGTCCAAACCAACCAAGTGGTTTTCAACTTTTTATGAATGGTTTTTACTACTGGGCACATTTAATTAGTTCTCCAACAAAAACGCCTCAAAAACCACCTTCCGTTTTTTATCGTTGAGTGAAAACCATGCGAAACGGCGCGAACTTGGCTAGCCGTGGTTTTCAACTAAATGACGTGGTTTTCAAGATTTTTTTTTGATTTCTTAACAAAATGCAATAAACAAATGTTTTCTAAACTTGGTTTTTATTTTGGAGAACTTGCGTTTTTGACATCGGCTAACGGCGTGACTAAACCAACCATGGGTCTGGCCAAACCAGCCCAACAGCGATGTTGAGGTAATCAACAGCGCTGTCTGGCCTGGGTAGCTAAAAACATGGTTTGGCGTTAAGTCTTCCAACAGCGATGTTGGACACCAGACATCGCTGTTGAGCCAAGGTTGGATTTCCAGAAACTTCTGGAACAGCGATGTAGGCTTCCCTACAGCGCTGTCCAACCTGTTGACTTATTGTGTGATCTTGATTGGGAACCTGAGTACAGACCCAAATTAAGAATAAATGAAGAAACTGTTTGTAATGTAAACTTTGAAATGATTTATTGAAATAAATCATGGAAATAAATAATATGAAATAAATGTGAGAACCTTTTTGAATAAAGGTCAATTAAACCAATTTTGACTCTGTCAAAGTCAACCACCCAAAAATATGATGTCGGAAAAAGTATAACGAATAAATATAAAAATTATATCGTTGGATAGAGTTTAACTGTCCGATCGCAATGGTACAAACGGATTTCAATTCGGAGAAAGTTGGACCAAAAAGTGTTCCCCGACTAAGACCAATTTAGTCCCAATCAGGGACTTACATATAAAATCTGTAGGAGCCGCAGCCCCCTCCACTGAGACGCCGAAACAGGAACGGATACATCATCACCTTGGCCTCTTCCTCCATTCCTTCCCTATATAAAGAACCCAACTTCACCATTTCTTTACCATTCATCTTCAAATTTGTTCTGAAAGATAGCCTTGAGTATGGAGAATGCAGTGGTGTTGTTAGTTTCGTATGAAGTCACCGGAGATAGCCACAATCCTCGCCGGAAGTTTCGCCGGAAAATCTTCAAAACCTCCATTACGCTTCGAGGTAAGCCCGTTGATATATCTAATGACTAGAATGTTCGTATAGATCGTTTCTACGTTCATAAACGGTCGTTTGGTTGAATTTTGTGTTTGACATGCTTGAAGAACCATGAATCATAAACCATGAAATTGATGTTAAAACTATGAATTAATGATGTCAAAATGATCTATGAACCTTGTAGAACATCTCTATATAGTTTCGTTGAAGTTCGATGACTAAAAATGGTATTTCCGAAATTGGACCCGTAACGAAGAAGACGATGAACAGTGGCTGAAAATACCCAGGGAGGATCGATCATCCCTCCTGGATCGATCCAAATGAGTATTTTCTCTACGGAGGATCGATCCAAAGTGCTGGATCGATCCCCTGACCTGTCTGATCCAAAAATTTGTCTGAAAATGCTATTTTTGAGTTCTAAAATCCTATTTTTGGTACCAATTGATTATGATCATTATAAAAATGATTTACCACAATAAAAATGATGTTTTTAAAAAATAAGAATGTTATCTGATGCATGACGGTAAGTTCGGGTGTTAACACTCGAAGTTAGGCCGCTAATTGTTGTTGAATATTATGTTTATTGATGATTATGGTAATAATTATTGGTTGATGATTATGATGATTAAATCTTGATAATTGTTCTGATTAAAAATGGAAATTATGAATGATTAAATCATAATGAATATATTGATGATTGTGAAAATAATATGTATTGTTAAGGGTATATAGAAGACCTCTAAGATATACCCATATTAATGTTGATTTGAAAGGTATCTAGAAGAACTCTAAGATATACCTATATAAGTTAGGCCTTGCGGGTATGATGCCCGGTGGCTAGGGTTAAAACGTACGTACGGGATCCAAGAACCAAACTTGAGTACCTACTCGTTTGGGGGTACCACCCACCCAACAGTGAACACTACGCTGTCGGTTTTTGGTTGGCCTTAAGTGAAGGTAAGTTTAAGATTTCCAAAACCCTTTTATCTTAAACTAGGCCTAGCTTAAGGATTATTAGGAGTACTCTGTATACTGGAATATAGTTTAATTAGTTAAACTAGAATTCATTTAAGG